TTGAACCTTTCTATACTCACTATCGAGTATCCATGTCATTTCACAACAAAGCATATATATAGTATCATAACAATTTATTTATTATCTTTAAAGCCCTTACATTAGTACATGTATACATTTGAGAACTTAAGGTATGTGAGTACATTGAGGTTGTGCACTAATGCTGAAACCACAACTCGTATCAATTCCCTCATGGGGCACCGAAACTTAGTTCAGTATTCGTCCCGAAGGACCAGTCCATAGATCCCGAAGAACCTAGGTAAATAGTTCATATGTCCCGAAGAACATAGGTAAACAGTTCATATGTCCCGAAGAACATAGGTAAACCCTCGACCCTTGGCATGCCAACTATACCACTAGCTCTCTTATCACATAACATGGGCATTAACATTCATAACATTTCAATTTACTTATTCATATCCTTTCTCTTATGAATATATATCTTTTCTTTTCAGTCACGTACCAAATATACGTGTAATCATTGATCTTATAATCACATGTTCATTCTCTTCGGTCACATACCATATGTATGTGTAAACATATATCTAATATCATATAACCATCACAAATGCATGTATTCACATAAATCATTTCATATAGCTTTATTCATATCACATATTCATATAAACTCATATCTTATTTCACATATACTTTCCATATAACTTATATATCTCATAATCACACAAATCATAACATTGATCACCAATCAAATAACATTTTAGGAGTTACTTCTTACCATAGTAACTCCATCACACTGGCTCATCGCAAGCCAAATGTTTATTCAATAATATAAGTACAAATTAAATTGCACTCACCTTAGCTTTGCTTTGATTCGATTATAATCCTTCAATTGATCCGAAACGGGATCACGTTCTATATCTACATTATCATACATAGATCTATATTAGTTAACTAATATACTCTAATGGTTCACACTCCTTAGCTAAGAAAATGACAATTTCATCTTTCAATGAAAGTATGCATCGATGCACTACTGATGCATCGGTGCATAAAATGCATTCGATGTTGTATTATTACTGGGATGCATCGATGCACTACTTATGCATCGATGCATGAATTGCATTCGATGTTTTTATTTTAAAAGAGTGCATCGATGCACTACCAATGCATCGATACACCTTCAAACAATTTATGGGTTTTAACCTTGATGCATCGATGCACTATGAATGTGCATCGATGCACTCTGTCCAGAACCTCTTTTTGAACCCAAAAATCATCCACTCTTCACTCAAATGCTTCATATTTCATCCCCTTTCATATTCCTAACTTTCATATACATGTTTAAAACTCATTTATAATCAATTATCTTGTCTTAACCCTTATTATCTTTTCCCTTTATTAACTTCAAGAATCATACCAGATTTTTAACATGTTTTAAATCTAATTCTAACACTCCATATTCCTTATTAGATTGATGACAAGTCAAAATTATCTTGTCTTTAACCTTAATTCCTCTCCTCTTTATTAACTTCAAGAATCATACCAGATTTTTAACATGTTTTAAATCTAATTCTAACACTCCATATTCCTTAATTAGATTGATGACAAGTCAAATTCCTTCTCAAAATTCACTTACTAACTCTTTTCCATAATTTCCTTAAGAAACTCATTTTCTTTAATCTTTCATAACTTCTTTATCTTTGATTTTAGGACAACTTAACTTTCCATAAGCTTAATATTACCTAATGATCAAAACCCACTCTTAAAATTAACAAATAATAAGCTAACAAGGAATCTTACCTTTGCAAGCTTGGCTCTTCTCTCTCTCGTACATGAAGAAGAAGAAGATGAAGAGAAGATCTCTTCATCCTTATCCCCTCTAACATATATATCCTTATCTTATCTATTTTTAATTCATTTATTAGTCAAATGATTCCTCTAGTCTAAGGTATAGTTCTGTTACTTTATTAATGTAGTGAATGAAAGAATACAGTGTGGTTGTTCACTCAGGAGAATGTGAGAGGGAACCTTGACAAATGAGCACGATTTGTTTGTTTTTCAAATTTTGGAAGGGGAAAATTACGAAGAGAAGAGAAGCCTTACTCGATGAAGTTATCGAAATCGAGTTGGGCCTTTCCAATTCCGTCATCTTACATGGAAATTAGAACTTGAAAAACATGAGGTTGAACCGCATATCCAAGGTTGTACAGAGCATCCCTTACTTGCATCGAATAAATTTTCCCACTGCTATCTTTATGGAATCTCTCGAATATCGCCAACAAATTTCGAATCTGTTTCAATAAACTCATATTTTTTCTATATATCATAAAGTTTAAAAAATACAAATATCATATTTATAAATATTTAAGATTTATATATTTATATTTACTTTTTCTATTTAAATATCTTTATTAGACTTTTATTTATAATTTATTATTATTATTATTATCTTATTTATAATAATAAATATACAATTAAGTTATTATATTTTGAAATATTATAATTAAATCATTTTATTTATCAATCGTAATATTTGAATAACTTTACTATTGTTTTCTTATTTGATAATGCATATGTTTTGCAAATTGTGAATTCTCCTTTATACGACATTTCACCTCCTCAATGGATGGTGGAGATCAAATGGATGCTACAATCTTTATTTTACATCTAAAAACATTTATACAAATCTAGAAATAATCTAGGCTTGGAAAAAAAATTACAAGCTTTTAAAATCCTCCACGAGGTTCCCAATATTCTAGAATATTCTTTCTATTAAAAGAAACTTTTATGATATTTTAAAACATTTTAAAATGTTCTAGAACATTCTAAAACGTTCTAAGATGTTTCATAGTATTCTAAGTATAGTCAACTACGATTCTTATCAATCCACACCCAAAAAAAGATGAGAAATCGGACATCATCCATGGCGATTTACAAATCACTTGTATTCAACTATTTCAAACGAAATCAACTCCGAGTGATGTGGGAAAGTTGAACAGGCTCGACATCCAAAAAAAAATACAATCAAACACTTTCTGTGCATTCAAAACAACCAACAACGCTTAATCAACTGTGGATATGAAGATCTCGAACTTATATTTTAAGATAAGCCGATGAAAACTCGAAAGTTTCGATATCGCTATTGTCGAGTAGGCAAAGCTGCGTGTTTACAAGGGGATGGAGTCAATTCGTGATCGTGTGAGTTTCTTCTTGATTGACGTGAGTTATAACAACGGTGAAGGGGACAATGGAGAAGAGAATCATCGTCAATTGGAATTGAATAATGGAGAACATGGTGGTTTCAATGGATTAAAATCACCTCATAATGAAAGAGAAAAAAATGTTATTTTGTTTGGAGCACAAATTAATTGACAATTATAAATACTCTATTTTTTTATTTCAAAGTTCAATTTTCTTTTTTACTTTTTTATTAGAATTGTTTTTTTATTAGTGAAGTGGAAAATAATAAATTTCCTTTCTCGTGTCAAAATAGAGTCAATTGTATCACATGTTCTTAGCGTATGACTCTCATTTAAATTGGTCCATAAACTTTTAAATGATACAATTTTATCCTTAAACTATGACTATTATTTTAAATTAGTCCTTAAAATTTTGAACATTTCAATTCCATCCCTAAATTATGAGATTCATTCTTTAGTTTAAGGACCAATTTAGAATGAAGGTCGTAGTTTAGGGATGAAATTAAAATAATCAAAAATTAAAGGACAAACTTAGAATGATAGTCATATATTTAGGGATGAAATTAAAACATTTAAAAGTTTAGGGACCAATTTAAAATAAATGTCATACTTTAAGGACATATGATACAATTAATTCGTCAAATATTTGATTACGAAGGATTTTGATTTGATCTATTTTTTTGGATTTTTTTAATTTAGAGTTGAGGTTGAAATTTGGATTTGACCTATTTTCAACGACCCAATATCATAATTGAACTCCAAATAAAGTTTAATGACTAAATTGAAACATTGGAAAATTTAGTGGTAAAATTAATATATAACCTAAATTTTAGTGACTAATTGTGTAGTTTACCCATATAATTATCATATTTCAAAAAAGGTAAAGTAAACAAATGGCCCCTCAACTATAGAATGTTACTTTGTTGAGTCCTCCAACTATTAAAAGTTACAAAATGATCCATCGACTACAGTGTGTTTCTTTGTTGAATCCTTCGACTTTTAAAAGTTACAAAATGGTCATCCAACTATTCATATATTCTAAACTCTTCGTTTTTTATTAAGAAATTGACGGTCATCTGAGTAGGACATTAATATGCTGACGAGGACATGATAGTCTTTTGAGATTAAATTTTATTATATTTCAATCAACAAGTTAACGTCCAACTCAGATTCCAGTAAAGTTTTAATAAAAAAATGACGAGTTTAGAACATATGAATAGTCAAATGACCATTTTGTAATTTTTAATAGTTGAGGGAACTCAACAAAGTAACACTCTATAGTCAAGTGATTATTTTATAATTTTAAATAGTTGAGAGACTCAACAAAGTAACATCCTATAGTGGTAGACAATTTGTGTAATTTACCCTCCAACAAAATACGCATTCCGATTAAATGATGCAAAATATATTTAAGGGTAAACTATGTATTTAGTACCTAAATTATCAATTTTAGTTTATTTTAATATCTAAACTTTTAATTTTTTCAAAATCATACCTAAAATTTAGTTTTTAATTTAATTTAATACCCCACTGTTAAGTTTACATATTTAGTATCTAAACTATTAATTTTGGTCTGTTTTAGTACCTAAACTTTCAAAAAAATTAAAAAAGTTAACGTTAAATTTTGGACAGAATACTAAAATGAAACAAAAGCTAACCTTTAGGTATGTTTTAAAAAAACTTGAATGTTTAGGTCTAAAACTAAAAGTATAGGTACTAAATGTGAAATTTACTCTATATTTAATTACTAATTCCGCAAGCACTGAAAGAACTACACCTACCAGCAAACAATTGCGCTGAATCTCTGCTTTTTCCTGCTATATATAATCGTTTTATCGATGTGCGTTTTAGCTTTGGCTTTGGCTTCTCCGTTGAAACTGAACAAAAACAATATCCCTTTATAAAACTACCTTGATCTCATCGAACTTCCTTAAGATTTCTTCTCCTTTTTCTTTTCTCTTAACCTCCACTTTGGCTCTCTCTGCCTCTCAAAGGTATGTATCCTTCACTTTATATCCCAAATGGGTACTCCATTCTCAAATGGAGGCTTCCATAGCTTTTTTTTTGTGGGTTTATTTTCATTTTTTTCTGGTAAATGTGTAAAATGGCATATTTGAATTCTGGATAAGAATATATCTGTTTCTTAGAGATGAATAGTGAATAATTTTGGGGTTTTAGCAAGGTAAAAAGGATGGAAGCTTTGATGGGTTAATTTCATATTAGTTTAGGTCTCTGAGGAATTTCCTCATACGTTTATCGACCAACATTTTATTCTCCAGTTTGACTTGTTTAGTTCATTTTCTTTACTTTATGTGATAAGTCATGTTGATGGATTGATGTACATTTTAGTTTAGTTGCTTAGATATTCTATGGTAGAAATGCAAAATGAAATGTATCCTTGAAGCACAATGTATGTTATTATACATGCTCTTTTATGTGTTTGTTGAGTCAGGCCTGATTCATTTTTTTCTCTGTGCAGATTTTCACTTTCTGCTTTGAAATATCAGTTTTTGAGAATGGCGGCAACAGCAGCTTCCAGCCTTCAACTAGCTTCAGCAAGACCTTACATTGCGTCCTCTCGCGGGGTATTTAAGGCAGGCGCTGCCAATCTAGTTTTCAATCCCAAAGCTGTGTCATGGACTAAGCTGGCGAGTGCTCGGAATGTATCACAATCTTTGGAGCCTTTCCGGTGTGGTTTTGCATTGTCTTCAATAAATTCTAACAAAGTTGTGACGAGGGCTATGTCTGTATCCGTTGAAAATAAGCCTGCTTCTGGGTTGCCAATTGACTTGAAAGGTTTGACTTGCTATTTGTAATGTTTCTGCCCTCGTTCTCGTATTAGTTGCTTATGATTGTCGCTGTATGCGTCTCCTTTGGTAGAAAAACAATTTCCAAAAACGGATGTCTCTACCACGTTTCTGTTGGATTTCTTTAGCTTTAATTCTGTTTACCAAACTGGAAGGCTGTTGCCTCAAGGACTTTAACTAAGCTATTTTAATTCTTTAATAGTTTAAAGGCATTTTTCTAAAACTAGTAGTGATGTTTTCTGTAGGTAAGAGGGCATTTATTGCTGGTGTAGCTGATGACAATGGATATGGATGGGCAATAGCGAAATCGCTTGCTGCTGCGGGTGCTGAAATTCTAGCGGGAACATGGGTGCCCGTAAGTAAAATTATATCATTGTAGACTTTATATAGGCTTTTGCAGGGTCTTGAAAAGAATGTGGCATGCTGACAACAAAGTTTCCCTTGTAGGCTTTGAACATATTTGAAACCAGCTTGCGCCGTGGAAAGTTCGATGAATCACGAGTGTAAGAGCTGGTTATATGTTGCAACATAGTGGATACTTCCTTGAATTAATGCTTTTTTTCTGACAGAAGTTGATATTTTAGATTGCCCGATGGCTCATTAATGGAGATTACCAAAGTATATCCCCTAGATGCAGTCTTCGACAACCCTGATGATGTACCCGAAGATGTAAGGGATAAGTTTATGACACTCTAAAGAATCTAAATGTTGATAAGTTCAAATATCCTTTATTACATCTTTTTATCTTGGTTATTACATGCAGATAAAATCAAATAAGCGATATGCAGGATCTTCGAATTGGACTGTTAAGGTATGTACCAAAATACCTTCCATAAGTGCATGTCTAGGGATTTCTAAAGCCTAAAACTATTTTTCAGTAGACTCGAGCTCACATTCAAACCACCTATTGCGGTATAAGTATAGGAATCTGGTCACTTTTTATATGTACTTTTGTATACTTGGCAAATGAGATTTTTCAATATGCTATGTTATTTCCTATGTGTTACAGGAAGTTGCTGAATCCGTCAAACAGGACTTTGGCAGCATTGACATTCTTGTGCATTCACTAGCTAATGGACCAGAGGTACATGAGTTTTTAGCTTCTAAATGCCAATCTCGCTTTCAACTTTATTCTTTGTTCTTAACAAACAATACTCGTTTGCAGGTCAGCAAACCTCTATTGGAGACATCCCGGAATGGATATCTTGCAGCTTTATCTGCTTCGAGTTACTCCTATGTTTCTTTACTCAAGCATTTTCTTCCATTGATGAATCCAGGCAGGTCTTTTGTGCATTCTAGTCTATCGTTAGGTTCACTGTACATCTTATGTTGCTTTGTTGTCAAATGAACGACTTAGTGCCCGGGGATGTGTTTCTAAAATAAGCTATTGCTGGTACAGGAGGCTCTTCACTTTCTCTTACATACATTGCCTCGGAGCGGATAATTCCTGGGTATGCCTGCTATGTTTTGTTTTCTTAATACACCTAAAATGGCATTAGGTGACAAGAAGCCTAAAACGATGTGATGATGCAGATATGGTGGAGGTATGAGTTCTGCTAAAGCCGCTCTAGAAAGTGATACAAAAGTGGGTTCTTCAACTTATCTGCATGTTAATTGATTGCATATTCCGGTTACTTGAATTTGACATATTTATGCTTTTCTCTATTCATTTTCAGGTACTTGCTTTCGAAGCTGGACGAAAGAACAAGATTCGGGTCAACACAATATCTGCTGGTATGAATGATTAATGCTCTCATCTTTTATCAACATATTCAGTATTTTAACCTGAAATTCATCGCGTTTTCCTGATCCATGGCTTGTAATTCCAATGCTCTATTTTCTTGGATGTTGCAATGAGATAATTCAGTCCTTGAAATATATTGACAAGGTATCTTTAAATGGGTAGAACCGTGTATAAGCATAGCATTATTTACTTTTTCTGGCACATGGTGTCAAAAACTAAGGTTATTTGGATTTGAGAATATCCTCGGAGATTGTTCTTTTCGACAATTACACTCTCGCAGTTGCTATTTTTTCTGGTCTACAGGTCCACTAAGAAGTCGTGCTGCAAAAGCAATCGGATTTATCGACACAATGATCGAATATTCAATTGCGAATGCACCTCTGCAAAAAGAACTATCAGCAGGTTATTTTGAGGAACTATTACGACTCTTAAGTGTTACTTATTTTGCTTCCACGATTACTGAATTAAAGAAATTGATGATGGGGCAGATGAGGTGGGGAACACTGCTGCCTTCTTGGCATCACCTTTGGCTTCAGCTATCACGGGTGCCGTCATATATGTCGATAACGGTCTGAATGCAATGGGTGTTGGAGTTGACAGTCCCATATTTAAATATCTCAACATTCCTGGCGACAAGCATTAGGAGACTGATAACAAATTTGGTGCTGAATGTTAAATCTAAGATGTTTACAGTCGGTACCATACCGGTCGAGATGTCCGGTTACCAGCTGCCATTTTGCCATGAGAAATTAATGCTCTGCCCTTTTTAGACTTCTGAAGTGATTTTTGACGATTTTTCTAGCATGAATTAACTTTCTTGAGGGAACAATTTTTAATTATCCTAATTGCAATAAAGAATCGTGAACGGGTGCTTAAATCACAACGTCCCATGTCGATGTTTTTATGAGTGACCGTGTCGATGTTTTTACGAGTTATCGAAACCCGATTTGATTTAATAAGAAAAAATACACCATCCAAATAACCTGAAATGAGTAGAATTTAAATATATTTATATATAGAACAAACACTGATTTAATTAAAAATAGCAACTATAAGATAAACCGAAACTCTCGTCAAGGAAACTCGATATAGATTTACGGGCACAAAACAGCTTCTGATTTTTACATATATCTGAAACCTTGCAGCAAACCAGAGTAAGGAGAGAGGATAAAAAATCAAACAAAATGTGTACTTATAAACTTCTAAATGGTCAGACATATGAGAACTAGCATCTAAAAGATTAATGATACAAGCATTTTCCTACCTTAGTTTAAATTAAGGTTACAATAAAACTAAATCCAATGAGCCAGATAACTAAAAGGATAAGACATTACCTTAGCTGGTAGAAGGTCAGGAGGATTAAACAAGATACAAGCACTCGAAGTTGACAATGCTGCTGCTACGATGGGATATACAGAAGTTGTGGCTAAAATTGCATGTCGTTAACCCCCCCCCAAACCCCCAAACTTGCTTTGACGACTATCACTCGTTGGTTGGTCATTTATTGCCATCAGACCCTTCGATCATCCTACCTTCACCCATCTCATCGTACTGCCGCTTTCTCCACTCTTTCTTGATCCATTGATTGCCCTTGTGAGAGTCGGTGCTCTCCATCTGCTTTTATGCCAAACAAATAAATGAAGTTAAAAGATGCTGTTCATGAATATAGTTATAAAACTCACTGTTTTGAACCACATGGCGTTAAACAAGTCAATCTTTTTTTTCTTGCTGCTGTCGAAGTTGCAGAAACAGAAGTAAATTGATATACTGAATAACGAGACAGGCTAAAGCTCCACCAAAAAGACGACAGCTATGAACTAAATATCATATCCTCCATTTGAAATTTATATCATTTGCATTCGGGAATGGAAGTGAGAAAAACAATAATTAATTGAAAATTTGTACACCTTGGGAAAAAGTAAATTGAGCATGAAAAGCTACAACCATATTAGAACAGATGATGAAGCATCCTTACTTTTACTGTAAGCATATCATAATTATATGTAATCAGTCATTACCACTTTCATCATCAGATGCATCTTCAAGCCTAGCAATTGCATCAACCAGCGCTTGTTCGTGCTCCTACAATGATAACATATCCGTCGTGATTACTGCAACAGCTTATGCAGTACCCAAAAAAAAAGGAAAATACTTACTTTCAGCACTTTCTTTGCTTTCTCAGTCTCTAGGGGATCAGGATGGCTTGCGCCAAAAACTTTTTCCACCTGTTGAACTTGACACAATTATAAAGGAAAAAAAATACACACACCACACGAGACAATTGCAGTCTATAGATGAGCTTCCAATAGAAACTATACCTCCTTAATTAGAGTATCTGTATGAAGTATCTCAATATCACCCAAAGCCTTCCTTCCAATGCCATTTTGCTTAGAAGGAAAATCTTTTTTGGCACCCTTTAAACTTCCCCGACCTCTTCCTGCTCCAGCAACCCTGCCACCACGAGCCATGGACTTCTTAACCCCTTGGCCTGGTCCTGGACGACCACCTCTATGGGATATTCCAGGATCTTCACCTTCCCATCTAATGTCTTCAGGAGATATCTGCCATTATTGTATTGTATTGTATGATCGAAAAGGACAGGAAAATAAAATATCATTTTTAATCTTTTATTGCTCTATGATCAAGAATAAAAAGTATGAACAGATGGTAAAAGACATCCTAGGCAGTAACAAAAACAATGAGACATTAAAATTATGACTTCAGCATGCAGTAATACAAGCCTAAGACAATGTTATTTACATGATCATAGATATAGCAGTTCTAAAACATGGATCCTATCCTATAAATGTAATGCACAACCATTAATTTGGAGCCAATTGTGAAGATATGCAGAAGGTTTATGAAAAAGATTGGAACAATAAGCATGAAAATTGCTGAATTACAAGACCCTCGTTCACATTAGTAGATACTAGATATACCAAAATGCGTTGAACAGTTACTTGCAAGCCTCCTAAATGTACAATTCTAGACAATACATACAGTGATTGAAATCATATTGATCATTGGCTATGCTTGAAAATATAATGGAACTCTATGAGATATAAACATAGCTCACGGAAAATATGGATTCAAGAGGCAAGGATGGACTAGCACATAAATTCTGCAATATCCGATAAGAGGAATAAAGGTTGTTGAGAAACATATGCAACAAGCTTAAGGGTTGGTAAGTTAAAAACGGTATGTAACAAACTAATTGAAAGTAAATCAGTTCAAAAGATCAACAATGTATTGTAAGTAATCGCGTAAGGATACAACAATTCTACCTCTTTGAGATTGACCCATTCCCAGGTTTCATCTGCCGTATTGATATCATAAACCAAAGCATGCCTCCCCTATCAATATTGAGACATAGGATTACAAAGAGATCCAGTAATTAACAGCTTAAAGGATTATTAACAGTGAAGTATACCTCAACTCGGTTAAAGTCTGTTATAACAGCTTCATAGAAATGGTTATCTTCAGGCCACCTAGTCCAAACTTTCCTTCCAATTAACGGATCATATGGTGCAGCTTCGGCAGTTTCATTAGTTGCAAAAGCCCCTGAAGAAGAACGATTAAGAGCCTGGGGAGTTTCAGGAACACCTGTGGAAGGGTACCGTGTCGACTTCATAGAGGATGCAACATAAGATACATAACCAGTAAGTGATTAAAACAGAATATGCATATCTCAATCATCAACATTTCTCATGTCACTTGAAACCATTTAACTTACTAATTTTGACTTCTTGCTCTTTGTTCCTAGGGGAGGACCCCGTCTCATGGCCGATGACGATGGTTGCATAGATGGATGCAATGCAGGAGATGGTCCACCCATAGATAATGAAGCTCCAGTCTGTGACGTTTTCAGCTTTTTGCGTGATCCTGATACAGTTGGACTAGGTAAAGGGTCATGAATAGGCTGACTGGTACTGAGCATTCCAGGCTGGAGCCCACTCATCGTTCTCCATTCCCTAATAGTAATGATTGATCATAGTTCCCATCACAATTCAGAGATAACCAGAAATCATTAATAAAAGCTGATCAGAAGAGCACATTGGTATAATCAGACCTTATCCTAAGAATCATGTCATCAGCATTAACCGTCAATAGAAGTTCCCTATGTTCCTCATCAGATACTCTCAACTCCTTTCTGAGTTCAGTAATTAAACTTTCCTTCCCCTGTAAGAGACAACATGTTAGGTTTATATCTTTAAAACCTATGAAATGATCTTAAATATGAAAAAATATTGAATAATATACCCAAGTTAAAGCATCTGCTTGAGCTTTGAAGGCCCGTAAGACCGAACAGTATGCTTCCAGCTCAATGAGATGGATTTGAGTTTCCATGTCACCATGCATTCGAGGCAAAGGAGCAGAACCTACAACTGCTGATCTTCCATTCCCAGCAGCAGTGCGACCCCCTCTATGAAACCGATTTTGATGTGAAGGAGGGAAGTCATCATCTGTTCCTGCAGTTGTGTAACAGTGTAAGCTCATATAGATTCATTATTTAAGTTTATAGGATGTCAAAATATCTATGGAAGGGTTCACAAGGAATAATACCTATTATACTCGAAAGAAATCTGATACAGAATCTTTCATAAAGTTACAAACTGTTAAATTGTTTCTTGAAATCTCTCATTAATGAACATTTCAGAACACTTCGAATAATGTAGAAATTATAAGATTGAGAAAGAGAAGCAGGTGTGCAAGAAATCTTTGGCAAATACAAACTAATATTAGATTGACTAGCATGTTTCATGAACCCTAAATGCTCAAGATTAGCCAAGGAAAGCCATATAACTTTTGTGCCAATTAACCAAGCCAAAGAAACCAAGTTCTTTTCATCTCAAAATCATCAGATTACAACGAAAAATAAAGATAAAATGAAAAAAAAAATCTTTAAACTCAACTCACCGCTACTATCAGAAAGTGCATAATCCATGATAGCTCCTTCAAATTTCAATCTTCACTAATGCTATGAAAACACTTGAATCCAACAGAAGAACCAGAATCAAGCTAATAAGTGTTGAGAAAAACAAGGTACAAATACCTTGAAACAATCAACAAAAACCCAAATTAGTCATAAATTCAGCCAACCGGAACATCCCTGCTATCCGAATTTTCTGTACTACAAGACTTCGCAGCTTCCGATTATACCCTAGCTGAATGCAAGATCCTTATAGTATGCCTTTAAAATATTATGCTTAGAAATTGTAATTGTAACATTCTGCTTCAAACTAGCTATGGAATCAATAAAAATAGAAAGAAAGCGATGGTTCTTGCAGCATTTTAGAATTTCAAATTTGTGAGGCTTCTGGATTAAGGAGTTTGCCTTCGTAAATGCTCCTAGTTATGCATCAAATGCCAATTATTCAGGTATCAATTAGTTACTTCTAACTTTTTTCCTTGTATAATCTACCTTAGGACATGGTAGCAAATAACAGCTGGAAACATTACAAATTAACTTTTTTAGAAGAATAAATACATGATTTTCCACTTCAGCATATAGCAATTATGTTAAGATTGGCATTGTAGTTTAGCCATTAGATCATTTTTACTGAATTGATGCTTTTGACTTTTAATTTACTTCAACTCTTGCAATTTTCTTTTCATGAAGCAAATGACAAATAGTCAAAACCAAAAAAAAAAACATGAACTCAAATCAAACTCGTTGAAACAAAAACCCTAATTACTAAATACATGATCTTAATTAAGAAGACAAAGATAACTCAGAGGTATCAACTTTCAACTCTAATCAAGCTTCACAATTCTTTCATCCAGTCTAACCGCCATAACACTAAACCGGGATAATAAAAAAACTAGAATCGATTTTATGTCAAGTTCACCGAAGAGAACCCTAAATTCACACACACAAAATTACGCTCCAACAATTAATCAAAGAAAATCACAAACCTTAAGAGCTTACCTTTCCTGTCCAAACCCCTCCTATTCAGAGAACGGAAAGAAAATTATTTCACACAACATTCTTCAAAATTTAACCAAAATTTACTTGAAATAAGCTTAGGCAGCAATAAAATTCAACGAATCACTTTCAAAAGCTAAACTTCGAGATGCTCCAACGCTGTAAAAACGTATCTTTCTCCGAAAGTTCCTTCGAATCCCCAAGCAATAAAAAGATTGAATAAAATAAGCTCCCGACAAATTGATTCGATAATCGAACACGTCCCTTTCAGAAAGAAATTATGTTTCTAATTCGAGTAACTACTGGGATTTAAAGGAATTAGGGAGAAATTTGGATATGGAAATTAGGGATGAAACTAGGGTTTAGAGAGTGAATTTTTGTTTGACGATATTTGGTTTGGATTGAGAGAGGAGAGAGAAAGAACGTGGACATGAAATCTAGTTTTGATTAAATAACACTCCTAGTCACCGAACTTTAGTTTGTTTATCACTTTTCTTACTAAACTTTAATAATTTCAATTTTACCATTAAACTTTGAAGTTATTTTTCCAAAAGTACGTAGTGATTATAATTTAATATATATTCATAATTTTTTTAATTATTGAAAATGCCTAGGGCTGTAAATGAGTAAAGTTGAGTTCAAGTATTGCTGATCTCGACTCGACTCGAAAACTTTAAAATGGAACTCGAATCTGTTCGAAAACTTACGAACCAAAAAATTTTAAACTCGACTCTAGCTATAAACCATGAATTGAAGCTCGTAAAAACTCAAAAAAAACTCGAAATGAAAAAAATATTAAACTTAACTCGATTAAAGCCTCGAACTAGAACTTAAACCTTAATACATAAAAAATTTATACTACATTTTTAAAAAAAATTAACAAGTATTATTAATAATTTATTTTTTTAAAATAAACTTTAATATATTATATTTTTGAGTTGTTTGTGAGCTTTTTGTATTGAGTATTAAGTAGTTCGTTTCAACTCGTTAAAAACTTGAGTCGAGTCCGTTCGAGTTGAGTATTTATCGAGCTTTGATCTATTCGATCTCGAGTAGCTCGTGATCTATCTTGTCTCATTTACAACCCTACAATGCACAAACACCCTGCAGACAAAACTACTCGAGTCTAAGATATTATAAAACAATTTACTTTTTAAATTATTTTTTGATGTATTATATGATTAAATTATTAACAACATAATAACATTATCATATCTTCTCGTATTTATATACAAATTTTAATTCATCAAATTTCCTTCGCTCTCTGCTAACCATGATAACTGCACAAAGATATGATAAACACAATAACAAAAACGATAATATTAAAAGTAAATACAAATAATCTAACAATCATAAGCAATTCAAGGATAGCCAACAATCATAATCTAACGAATAATCTCGTATGTTTTCATGTTCATTTTTTTGAAAAAATCTTTCTGGGTATATGTTGGATAATCCCAGGAAATCAGGGGAAAGAGAGAAAAGAACTGCTTTTCTAATGGAATCCCTTTCAAGCAAAATGGATATATGAACTGGTAAAACACTGTTCTTTCCGTTCCTGTTTCAAAAAACACATTTTTTTTCCTTACGAAAGTTGATTGATTTGCAGGAAATGAAGAATCCAACTTTTTCCCCACAATCGCCTATAGTGGACTATTCATTTGATGATACAAATTTTCAATCCTTTTCTTCCGAGAGTAATTCGTCTTATCCAAACATTGGCCAGAAAATCTCTCAAAACGATGTTTCATGCAACAATTTTGAAGAGTTCACAAGGCCAATGAATCAACTCAAAACCAATAACTGGAGCTTCATCCCACCAAAGGCTTCTTCATCTTCCCATATAATCTCCTTCAACAACTCCAATTCACCTCCGGTTGTCTCAACGAAACCAGGGCTAGTTATACAGTTTTAGGTGATTTGAAATTACCCAACATGCTTGTTTTCAAGAGGGCTAGTTATTTTAAAGAACAAGAAGAGTCAAATGGTTGGTCAAACATGCTGAGTCAATTGATTTAACGTGTCACGTCAGCATTCTATTACTACAGTAACGATTGTTAACGTCGAATGATCATTTTGTAACAACCGATAATATTAGTGACTGATTTGTGACTTTTCAAACATCAGTGGTGAAAATAAATAATAACCCAAACATTAGTGACCATTGGCTTAGTTTACCCTTAAAATATACACATAGTCTATGCATAAACAATTGTGTAAAATTACAATTTATAATGGTTTTATAATCCATTTGCCATTTTCACCTTTCTACAATTATTTAATGTTACACTAATAACATAAAAAGAATTAAAATGTAAAAATAACAAAAGCAAAAATGAATTTATATCTAACTCAAGCTTATTATATACGTGCATACAAACTCTCTCACGCGTGCGTTAAAACTCCGTGAAAGAAACGCTCTGTCTATGCTCCGACGACGGTGATCGTAGCGGTGATGATGGCATAGCCGACGGAGCCTTCAAGCTGTTGAAATACTCCCTTATATCTATTCGTCCAGCCGTCGCTTTCTCCGTCAACTCACCGTCGTCTCTCGACGGAATAAAAGGTGGCCGTAACACCTCCGTCAAGAGGTCCCATCTCACTCCTTCGAAGATCGGATGGTCCTTGATCTCACACGCGCCGCCGTGATACCCGAGTCTCATTTTCGGATCCTTTTGTAATAACCGTCCGATCAAATCGATCAAAGCGTTTCGTGGACCCATGAACACGGGCTCTTTGGCCACTACGTTTCGAAACGTTTCTTTCCGATTCTTCCCTTTAAACGGCGTCGTACCGTACAGCATCTCGTAGCTCAGGATCCCGAGAGCCCACCAGTCGACGGCGAATTCATGACCGTCGCCCCGTACAACTTCCGGCGAGACGTATTCCTCGGTGCCGACGAAAGAGTTGGAACGTTCCCCGTCTGAGAAACTCGATTTCCGACGACTCACTGGGCTGACACGAGCTGATTTCGGTTTCTTCAAAGCTTTGTTATATCTATTCTTTCCGGCGATCCACCGTTTAAATTTCACTCGACATTTACATCGAACTGGAATCTCCGGCGACGGTTTCCGGCAGTCCTTTTCACCGTAACTCAAAATCTCCGATAACGGCTTCTTCTTTAAACTACGTGAAAGGTCAAAATCCGTTAACGTCACATGACCCGACCGTTGAACGAGTATATTCTCCGGTTTGAGATCGCGATAAACGACGCCCAGCGAATGAAGATACTCTAGAGCACAGAGGATCTCCGCCAGATAAAACCGGATAACACCGGCGGAGAAAACGCCGTCGTTTTGACGGTTACGGAGGACATTGAGATCGGCGCCGGGGCAATAAGGGACACCCCAAGCGAAAAACTCATCGGTTTCTACACAACCCAAAAGCCGAGGAAGAAAAGGGTGGTGAAGCATTTTCAAAACCCCAATTTCCCAGCGAGCTCGACGGTCTCCGCCGTTGTTGGACCTCTGAACAACTTTGAGAGCGAACGGGGAACGGGCGGTGGGATCGGTGGCGGTGTCGTGGACGAGGAAGACGGTGCCCGTTGCTCCTTTGCCTAGGATTTTTATGGCTTTGAGGGATTCAAAATTGAACTGTAGAGAATCTGAAGGTGAAGGAGACTCCATGGCAGGGAAGAAAAGATGAGAAGTGAGAAGAAAGGAAGATGAGAATGTTTGGTTTTGATCGTCGGGGGTTTCGTTTATATAGTTTGTTTTTAAGTTATACAGAGACTTGGCTCCTACGTGGGGTGGGGTGGTGGGCTATGATTGAAACACTGTGGTTGTTTTATTAAGTATTTTAATTATTAAAAATTATAAAATGATCATCTAGCTAAAGAATATTATTTTATTAAGTCAGAGATTATTAAAAGTTACAAAACGGTCATCCAGGTATTCATTATGTTTCAAATTCATACTTTTCCTTTAAAAATTGGAGGTTGTCTAAGCTAGACGTTAACATGATGATTGATATATGATAGTCGTTTGAGATTATAAGATCAGATTTTATCATACAATAGTAAGCATGTTAATGTTCAGCTTAAAATACCATCAATCTTTTAATAGAAAATGACGAGTTAAAGCATAATGAATACTCGGGTGGTCATTTTGTAACTTTCAATAGTCGAGGGACCCAATAAAGCAACACTCTATAATCGAAGGATTATTTTATAACTTTTAATAATTGATGGATCATTTGTGTACTTTACATTAAATTGTAATTTTATCATTGGTTTAAGAGTGTAATAGCGCTCAAACTTATGAAAAAATCAATTAAGTCCTTAAATATATTTTACACTTAATAGAATCCTTAAACAAATAAATTAGATTAATTAAGTTCTTTGATCAATTTAGATCATTAAATTTTAATAATTTTAAAAAAATTTAAAATATTTTTTGATGATGTGGCATCACACATGAACTTTCCACATTAATAGGAAGAATTGATCGTTAATCAACTGACGATTTTCATCCCCAGGGGGCATTTTGCTCCAAAATAAAATATTGAGGCTAAAATGCTCCAAAAAAAAGATAAGGAGCAAAGTGACCATTTTTATAAATGTTGAGGGTAATTTTATTATTATGCATTTTATAATTAAGAGAGCACGATGATTTTAATCCATATGAAAGGTCATTTTATGTGCAATGAGTTGGTTAAAGTGGATAATAGGTTGGCCTTTCTTTTTTCCCTTTCACTAAACAAACAACATTGGCAATGGAAATTGGGGCACACGTGTATGGTGTTAATAAAAGATGCACATAGCCAAATAAAAGACAGAAAAATAAGAATATATACCAACGATAAAGTTGTTGTACTGATCTCAATATTATGTGTAAATTTAGTCTATATAAAATAATTGGGCAAATTTCTTATTTAATACCTAAACTCTCAATTTTAGTTAATTTTAATACCTAAACTCTCAATTTTTTCAAAACCATACATAATGCTTAGTTTTTGTTTTATTTTAGTAACCCCTTTTAAAACTTAACATTAAATTTTAAAAAAGAGAGATGAAAGTTTAGGTTTTAAACGGATCAAAACTGATAGTTTAGGTACTAAACACATTAAATTTTTAACGGTGGGGTACTAAAATGAAACAAAAACTCAACATTAAGTATGATTTTAAAAAAGTTTAAAGTTTAAGTATTAAAACAAACTAAAACTGATAGTGTAGGTACTAAATGCATAGTTTACCCTATATAATTTAATTATTTTAAGTTTTTAAATTTTTTTAAATTTTTAGAATTTCGATCATGATCTAATTAATAATTATTAAATTTAATCATTTTATATTAATCCATGTCTTATGTATAAATCATAGGTATAATTTATATACTCTAATTTGATCGTTTTTACATCTCAATAATTTTAGGTCGGACTAAAATTTCAAAATCTGAAAAGTATAGAAATTAAATCCATGATTTAAGCATAATATAAGGACTAATAAGAGAATTTGACTTATATATATAATGGGGTAAAGGTAAAAATGTTCTTTTTGGTAAATGTTACAAAATGATAATTAATTTTTTCAAATAAGTGAAAATAGTCGTTGAAATTTATCAAATTGTTATAAAATAGTCTTTGTACTTAATAGACTACTACAAAATGATCCTTAAAATTATCGAGATTTATTACTATTTTAACATTATGAGATCGTTTTACAACTATTTAAGGACTCTAATAATTATTTTGTAATATTTAATAAATGGATATCTAAAATATAATTTTTTTATAGTTAAATTATTTTTAATATAATCTACCTTATATTAGATATGTTTTTGTACGGGCTTCACATGGGGCTCCCCGTAATCTAAGAAGAGAATGTGGGCGTGCACTATCATGAATTGAGGGTATCATATTCTAATGTTGTCACGTCCAATACTCATATATATTCTTTGTCACGATCAGGGATAGATAGAGAAAAATATTAAAAGTGGTCGTAATTTTAAAAATTTTAAAATTCTCATATATAATTTAGATATTTATTATAATTTTTAATTAATGATTTAATTATATATTTTTTTAAATTTTTTTTATAATTTTATACCTTAATTTTTAAGATAATTATTTTGAAAAATTGTAACTCTTTATATAAAATTTTGTATCTACCTGTACTCTAACATTAATACTCATATATATATATAGATATATATATATTGAAACATTTATTTAATTTTGTACTTGTGTCAGCTTCAAGTACAACAAATTGTAATAATATTAATCAAAATAAAAAAGAATTTTAATTAAAATTTCATTTCAATTATTAAAGCTAGCTAACAAGTGTATTGCACTAAATCAAAACATTATGGAATTGAGTTTTGGTCAACAAACCATGAATTATGAGCTTAAAAGAGGTCACGAGGTTGGAGGGAAATAGGGAGGCTTTATCTTTAGGGTAAATTATGCGTTTAATATTTAAACTATCAATCTTAGTTCATTTTATTATTTAAACTTTTAATTTTTTCAAAATCATATCTAAATTTTAGTTTTTGTTTCATTTTAATACATTATCGTTAAAAACTTTAGTTTTTGTTTCATTTTAATACTAAAATTTCAAATTTAGAGACTAATGTGGGTGGAAAAATATTTGAGGACTAAGTTGGAAAAGTTATAAATTTTATGGACAAAGTTATTTTATCCAATTAAGAGAAAACAAGACAGAATGCAACTTGTTTGATGGGTTTTAGACTTTGGCATATAGAAGCAATTCTTTGGGAAAAGGATATGCAAACCTACAAACCCCGTGTTTCCCTACTTTAGGATACATAATTTTTTTTCCTACTATTTTCTTCTTGCCTATCTTTTTAGTCCCTATAACCCCACCAGCATTTTTTATAAAAATTCTAAATTAATTTTCTTTCTTTTTATCTTTGAAGTTTCATACAATGTCATCATTTTGTTGGGAGAAAATGTAAGCTTCCACCCAAGTATATTTATTTTGAACCATTCAAGAGTTGAATTATCATCTGATTCGACAAGCTAGTTCGATTAAATTAAATTTCAAATAAGATTTTTATTGTTTAGTTCAATTCAATAAATTTTTATTGATTTGAATTAGGTTTAAAAGTGCAGGAAGTTATCAATTTTTTTGAAAAAAAAATTAATTAAGTCCCTAAAAAATTCCATCTAATTAAGTTTATATGCTTTAAAATTGCATCAATTCACCCATTTGATTGATACTAATTGTTAATTTTTTCACTTTTTTAGATCAATTGGCATTACATGTCATATATCACATTGTTTTCAAATAACATTTCTAAAGACTTTTAGGGATGGGTTTGGGTCGGGTTGGGTCGAATTTTTGGTCCACCCGATCCGACCCGAGAACAATGACTCATCTACCCGAAATTCGACCCGACCCGCATAATATATACCCTCCACCGACCCGACCCAACTTTTTGAAATAAAATATAAACCCGACCCGACCCAACCTAAAATAATAAAAAAATATTATTTTTATTCAATAAAACAATTATTTAATGGAAAAAAATAAAATATAGAGGGGTATTATTGTAATTATTTTTAAATATAAAAGGTAAAATTATTTTTTTCGAGTCAGGTCAGGTCGTGTATTTTTTACCCTAAATTCAAATCTGACCCAACTCGAACTCGATTTTTTTATAAAAAACCCGACTTGATCGGGTCGGGTTCGGGTCTCATCCCATCCCTAAGTACTTTATCTAGCTTTGTACTGGCTTAACTTTATTGCTTAAGCCTCATTTTATTAAAAAATAATATTTCTATAAATTTATCAAATTTTAATAATTTTCTTTAGATTATTCTTTAAAAAAGCTATAAATTTCACATGACAGAATTATAGTATTTCATGTGACAATAATATCTAAAAATATTAAGATTTAACAGTTAAAATTGATTAAATGACTTAATTGATTCAATTGCTCGACTCGAGAGCTTAATTAGTTAATTGATTTAATTTATTAACTTAATTAAATTAGGTGGAAAAAATTCAAGTTTATTTTTTCCTAAAAAAATTAAGTCTTTGTGCACCATTAAGCTTTTAAATTATCATTTAACTTTGGTTTAAGGGTCACTTATGCCCTGTAGTGGGCTAAATTTATCATTTTTGCCCTTATCATATTTTTGTATCAATTTAACCCTCAAATTTATTTAATTGCATCATTCTATACTATTCTCCTAACTTAAAACCTCAAATTATAAGCCCTAAGTTAGTGTTTAGAGATAATACAATTATGATTTAGGGTTTATAATTTAGAGTTTTAAATTAGGGGTAGGGTTATAGAATGGTGTAATTGAGCAACTTCGAAAATACTTTTATCTTTAACTTTAAAGGTATTTTACTAAAATTTAGTTATAAAATATATTATAATTACTACTTAATCTAAACCAAGAACAAGCCTACTTCCACCTATGCACAAACTAAAAGTAAAAGCAAAGAGGGGGGAAAACTAATTATATTTGCTTTCACCCAAATGTGAAAGTTAGGAACAAATATGTAGTTTAAAGGGAAAGCTATATATACTTTGATGGTGGTGATGATGATATTGTCGGCCATGATTTCACCACATAAAAGATACCCTTTTTGGTTTTCCAATTTGAAAATGTCTTAGGGTCACTTAGAAGGGGAACATCCAAAGAAAAAGAATTGTTAAAAGAACAAATATTTAAATTCCAATTAACTTTAGG